TGGCCGATGTTAGAGCGTGGATCGTCTCCAAGAATCGTGACTTCTCACCCGTGGAATCGACCGACTGCCAAGCAAATGGGAAGCATTCTTGAAGGATTGTGTCTACGCTCCGGAATCATTTAAATGTGTTTTGTTGAATATCTTTATCGTTTTCTCTAAATAAAATTTATTTTGAAAGCGGCAATAATTATGCATCAACCCAATATTTCGTGACATTTTTCTCTCGCCCTTGCTGGCTCATGGCACTGTGAAAGGGAAAGCCCGATGGAGTGATGCCAGGGCTATACGATGGGCATGGTATCATGGTCCAGCCAGTTTCCCTCAGAACGTAGCGAGTTATCTTTGCAATGTGAGGTCGGGCGTCTATTCGGAGAAAGGGACGTTTGAGACGGTTCTCTCCCACTACTGCGGCCAACCTCGGGAGCTGTTCCACGATGGCATTCGCAATACTTGTCCGCATATAGCAAAACGACTGTGAAAACGGATGACCCAACAAATCAAAAGCAATATTCTCTGACCACGGAGTTTGGGCTTTTGTTGAGCTGGTGAGCCCTGGCTGCGAGGTAGCCATCAGGCGTGCTGCGTGTTGTTGTCGTAGTGAACTCATGACTCATCCCCACTAGTGATCAACTAGGGAACGCTCTGCTATTGAGGTCACAGAATGAAATTCCCCCAGAGGGTCAGACCAGCTTCTCGGTCATGGCTGGTCGGTGCATATGGTTTCATCAAGTCTTCATTCTGCTGCTGCCCACTTCATCCTGATGGCGTGTGCTGGTGCATCGGCTGCGCCCAGGTGTCTGCTACAATACCCTGGTAGTAGCGTCCGTGTGCACTTCCAAGCCGTGGCGCAAGGGGTCCTCATCGAAAGTGAGTGGAGGCCCAGGATGAGGCTGATTTCACAGCTCGTATTGTCTTTGCCATTGCGACCGAACCTCTAGCTCAGTGACCGATCAGTAGCAGAGACTGAGCCAAACACAGCGCTGATCTTCTCTAGTGTCCTCCTTGCAACAGCGTCTATTTAAGGGTCATAAGGCATATATTAGGTTGGAACGATTGAAATGTCGCTTCCGTTTGTGCCTTTGTTTCTCAGCTTAAACACAATCTCTTAGGATGGGAGACCATTCATTCGAGAGAGCGATTCAGCGCGCATATTGCGAAATCTTAGGCGCCACTGAGCGGATGTTCTTCGAGCCAAAACTTTTGCTCGAAGATGACTGATCAGAAATCATCGTCTGAGCGTATATATTCAAGCAACGAAAAACGGCCAACGAATCCCACTCATTGTGTGCAAAACATTGAGCAGTAACACTTAGTCTCTGATGCACTTTCAGCTATGGTTTCAGCTCTTCCAAGACTGAGGTAAAGGACCTGGGACGAAGATCGTGGATTTTGACCTCTAGCTCTAGATGACGGAGAAATAAAGAAAGCCAACGAATTGAGTCCTCGACAAACCGCACAAAACTTGCATGGAGATTCAGTTGTGTCAACAGAAAAATTTAAAAGTTCCTACGTGCGACTGTTAAGGCCTTTCAGGATAGAAAATGGGTTCGGCCTATTCTGAGCGACGCGAGCAAGCAGTACTGGTTGCCAATACTGGAACTTCGCTCCATAACTTCAAGAGGAAAAGGTTCTTGACTTCGTGTTGACCGCATTTTACAAAGAGATGTTTCCCAATAACAACGCGAGAAGACGACCGTGGTTGGCGGCTGATGGACAGCTGAGGGTGACTTCGAAACCAGACATCCACGGAAACATGTTTTTATATGGTGATATAGTATAGCAACGGTGTACCACGGAATGCTGATTGTGGGTTATACAGTTACAGCTGAACTCTGCGTATAACAGCTCCACCACGTGGGCCGAGCTCCGCGTCGTCAAAGGGTAAATTCGGCCAATGAAAATTATGGCACGATAATGCAAGACCACATGTCGCGAAAATTTGCAACAAGAAATCGAGGAGTTGGGCTGGGACGCTCTGCCTCTCGCCAGTCTGGCGCCGTCCGACTATCACTGACCCAGGTCAGCGCAACACTCCTTAGCAGCAAACCAATTCGATAACCGCGACGACGTCAAATTTGAGTACCTTGTTTTTCTTCGAATTGAACCAGAAAGAGTTCTGCGCGGTGCGCGGTCGACTTTTACTCAATTACTCCGCGGGTTTGCCTTTTGAAAACGTCCTGGCTAACGGCCTAGATGCACTCTTTGACATACCAACATATTTCGCAATGACACTAATTCGACTTGAAGAAATTTGAATTTGATCAAAAATCGGACAGGAATTATGGGACAATCCAGTAGATAAAGTGTGACAAGAGCTGTTTGGCAGAAAGTCAAATGTTTTCAGCCTGGTCTCACACTTCTTTGCCGGCGATTTTTTTTGTGAAATGCCATGGAAATTCGTCGTGAAGTGAGTCTATGAAATCGTTCTTTTTCTTTCTCGCCGAGCCAATGCATGGTTTGATGTAGGTTGATTTTTGTTCCCGAAGACTGCCGTGTTCGTTTGAGATAGATTCCATCCCTCAAGATGTCGTAGAACATTCACGTGTACACAGGGAAATTTCGGTCAGTCATCGTTCAAAGAAAAATTCGTGTAAAAAACAAATGATATGGGCAACGAGTAGTCGCTTTTATACTACTAGATTTCCTCTTTCGAATATATGCTTAAGTACCTCTGGATGTTCGGACTAGGGTCAAGCGAAGAAAATTTGGAAATACGACCCCATCCTCCTCCCTCCCCAGAGGCCGAAGTCCATGAAACGACCCTCTTCAAAAGCCGAACTATGAAAAGGTTGTTTAATTCTCCCCAAAACTGTTCATAAAAAAGCCCTGCTACCCCCAAAAAATTCGTTTAAAAAGTAGAAAAAGTCAAAGAATGATCATTATTGATGAGTCCTACCAAACGAGCAAACGAGAAAAGGAGCAAAAAACGACAAACTAGTCACTAAAAATGGCATACTATGACAACATCTCTTCTTTATTTATTTCCTTCCAAGACTTTTAGTACTACAAAGAGTATGGTTCTCAATTATTCCCCTTTCGGTTGAAAGAAGCAACCGCCTTAGCCAGCTGTGTGTTGACTGGACTTTGGCGTTGACCGTGGAGCAGCTTATTACTATTGAAATTTGAACAAATATTCAAATGATTATAACTTTCTTCAAATGACGAATTTTCAATCTGAAAGCAGATTTGGAGTTTTGTGAAGAGCTCTTTCTAATCAGTATTGAAATTACAAAAATTTATAAGAAATAACAAATTTAGATCAATTAACGAGGAAAATTCATGATGAGCACGAGTTTTTACACTTTCCGAAGCCATAACTTGCTTCATTTTCGTCAAATCTGAAAAGTTAATATGGCATACAAAACTAGAAGATTTTCTCTATCAAACGGTTGCTAAAGCAGCTTTATACGTCCAGTATTTAAAAAATGGCCACGTTGAGGATTTTTGCAAAATTAACGAGGAAAATTCGTGATGAGTGCGAGTTTTTACGCTTTCCAAAGCCATAACTCCGTTCAAACTCATCAATCTGAAAAGTTAATACGTCATCATAAACTAGAAGATTTGCTCTATCAAAATTACTAGAACTGCTAAATACGTCCACTATTAAAAAATGGCCACGTTGAGGATTTTTGCCCGAGTACCGCCGAAAGGTACTTTTTCGCTGCATTGGCACTATTTCAACGACTATAGCTCCTTTCAGGGGCGATTATGTACTAAAGTAGGAGCAGATTCGGAATCCTCGTGCTTTTCTCTTTCCAAAAAGTGTAAAATTGTTTAGCGGTCTCAACTTTAAAGGTTACATGCTTGTGAATTTGACGCTGAAGGCTGCGTTTCTTGTTGAATAGTGTACTCCTCCCTGTAATTTCACATGAACCCTTTCAGAATCCTCTTGATTTTTCCTGAATTGAGATTCTTTCTCCAGAGAGCCGTAGTTGAAGCGCGCCAACTGGGCCCACTCTGGGATGCGCCGTGTGCTTCACATCCCTTCAGATTCGAGGACTCACTTGAAAGATAAAATATCCCTTGGAAAACGTGCGAATTTCGGATTCTTTAACTTGTGTGGTGATAAAACACTGAAGTAACTAAGAATTTACCGGACACCCTCAGAATCACGAAAATTTTGTGTGGGTGAAATATCATTGTTATTGGAAATCCTCTGGCCTGGCATCGACTCGATCCTTGATGTTTGTCCTCCGACGGTGATGATCCTACTGCATCAATCGGGCCCGATCTCTTCCCCCAGCGGGCCAATACGACCCCCCCCTCTGTGACATGTCGAGGATTCCTCAACGCACGCTTGACCCTGGTTTGAACACAGCCCAATGGGGTGAAGCTGAATGTGGTGCGACATTTATAATGCAAACCTAATATTTCCTGTAATCCATTTTAATTCGAGCTTCTCATAGATTTTGTATGTCGGGTGGTAATCGTGCAAACGGAAAATGATTCCATATTTTTATCACATAGTCCGGCTATGTGAAGGACCAAGTGAGAAGTTGGCGCCGGGCCATCCTACACCGCAGGGTCGTCAGTAAAAAAAGCCAACCAAGCTCGATGCATAGGCAACTTAACAACATAGGTAACCAGCCAAATAAGCCGTGCGTATAGGGCTTACCTAACAACCCACGAGGCACAGTGTGGCAAAGGGTCCTTCCAGGAGGCCCGTCGCGCGGCAAGAAGGCAGAGTCGCGGACGAGTCGCAGCGCGTGAGCGATGTAGGACGTGCAATGGGACATTCTATTTAACTTGACGCGAAATCCCTACAGTACGCGCGGACTCGTCCGCTGACTCGCCTTCTTGCCGCGCGACGGGCCTCCTGGGGGGTACCCTGTGGCAAAACTTTCCGATTGTAACTCTCCCACTTGCAAGCGGCTCCTTTAAGGGGCGATCCCGTAAATAGTGAGCGCATGACAGGTACAAGGCACCCAAGCCAGCAGTACAATTGCAGTTATTTCGCAGCATGTTTTCATAATATAAATTAGAGGAGAAACGTACACACCTTCCAAATCGATGTCCGCGAAGTGTATGCCGTTGTCGTTCCGCGCGGTGCACCGGTAACTGCCATAGTGATGCTTTTCAACTCGGCGGATTTCAAGCACGTGAACACTGTGGTACTGGCCCGAGACCGTTTGAGACTGAAAAAATAACAGCTGCAGTCATTTGGGGTAGCGTCAGTTGCCTGTTCTAGATCCTATAGAATACCGATAGTCTTTTCCCGACATTATTTGAACTCACGTTGAGATAGTCGAGTTGAATTTGACAGAATTTCATAACCATTACATTATAAGATTGCATGAAAGTTTGTTAAATTTTTTGAAATACTTTGTAGTGGGTCGATAACCAACCGTGGCATAATTATCCGAGTCGAAAATCTGCTGCCCCTCCTTGTCCCAAGTCACGTCCGGTCTTGGCCACGACTCCGCTGTGCACACGAGGCGGGCCAAACCACCAAGTGGAACACGGATAGAAGTTGACTTGGCTTGGATCAGTGGTGCGACTAAAAACAGTTTTTTTTTTCAGAGATCCACAGAATGTTTCTAATAATAACGCGATCTATGAAGTGACCTACAAAAATTTGAGCTAGTGAACAAATTGGTTTCGGATTTGGTTAAAGACATCATCGATCTTCAGATCATCAAAGGGAAACGAATTCGAGCACTGGTCGACGTGGAGTAACCCCGTCTTTACAGGTGATTTGAGCCCAGGACGCATTCGGACGAGAACAAGCACAAAGTCGTATACGTAGAGCATCTCAAAAGGGTCGAACAAAGGCTTCCTTTCGTTTCGAACGGTTTAGTGAACCTTTCGAAGTACCTATTTGTAATTTAGTAATACTCAACAGTGGCGCTGTCCGTGAAAGTCCCTTTCCGTGAAAGACACGGCCATCGACCCGCAAACATCGTTGAAATTGAGTTTGTGGCGCTCGTCATAGCATATTCACTCGGACAATGAGGAGATGGGCCGAAGGGTCGTCGGCGCACTCACGGCCTCACCACGCTGCTGGTGAACAGCCCGAATCCAGAATCGACTCCAGGGCTGATTGAGTTACCGACGGTGATGATTCGCATCATATTCACACTAGATGTCATTAGAGAGCGACTAAAAGCACCTTAGGATGAGTGCTACCACCCATCTTCCCCAGCGTTTTGATCGATCTCATCACCTGATAAACTTTTCTTGAGAATTTCGGGAACCAACAATTTTGCGCTTTGCACATGCAAAAAGATCCCCGAAGTTAGTTATACATTCACATGCTCAGGCGAATAATAAGGCCCAAGTAGTAGACACTGATCGAAAGTTTGCTTACTATTCAAACTTGTAGACGTGATGGAATAGGAACTCGTACTTTACGGCAACTTTGTTAAGATGAATTCGAAAAGGAGGTTGCGTGACGATTCAATCGTGGCGATGGCTAGGTCGCCGCGCCAGCCGCCGCAGCCCGCGATGCGACGTCGGCCGTGGCTAGAATTCAGGGTTCTAGCATTGGGGAATGTAGGATTAGATGAAGTTTCCAGTCGTGAAACACGGTATATGATCACCTGCCCCCTTAAAATACAGGATCCTTGTCCTTTGCCATTATTTACAAACTTATTCTGTCATACTGATGTTATTGCCTTCCTCACCGTTCCACTGCGTCTTGGAACGTAATATTTTTCCGATTAGCCAGATTATCGCTCTCTGATAACAATTCAGGCAGTTGATTAATAAAGAAGTCTCATTATGTTCAAAGGACAACCTTTACATGGCACAAGCTCTGTACAGTGAGGCTTAAATAACTGGAGATCTTAAAGGAATCTTGCGCGGAAAAATCATGATTCTATTTCAGCCATAAATCACTGGCTTGAGACTCATTATCCACGATAATAGTGAAAAGAACTGAAGTATTGCTTTCGTTTTGATTAGAAATTCGAAAACTCGAAAAGGCTGCTACGCGTTCGAATTGCCCACGGACGTCTTTCACGAATGCTGGCGACGGGGATGCTCAAACTTGGTTCTTGGAGTGCATTCACTAGAAGCTCTTTCTGGCCTTCTGCTTCGTTGCATTCACATCTTACACTTCTACTCCATCCTATTCCATCGATCGATTTGTCTCCACTCTCCGAAATCGCGCGCTTTAACCCGATTCTCTCATTGCGTCGCCTGGTACGTAGCCGGCCAAACGCCGTCTTCTTTCCATGCCTCGCCTGGCTCTGCCTCCTGGTCCTTCGATGGTCCATAACGTGTAGTTTTTGTACGTTTGTTTCTCTTCAGAAACCGAATCTTCATGCGTGAAACTTTGTGTGCTATTTCCAGTGATCACAACTGACATATTCATGTTAGGAAAGAGTGCAAGAATTTTCCGCGCAAGATTCCTTTAAGGCGACTTGTTGGCTCAATGATGTCTGGAACTTTGGTCTTGTCAGTTCTCTAACCCCACCAGCAACTTATGGACAAGGACCGTTAAGCCAAGGCCCATACAAAAATCGCCGCACCATTTGCCGCGCGCGACGCTGCCCGCCGCGTGAGCGGCGTGACCTCATTAGCCGACAATTCCATTGACCGCCTCTCCGAAAGGGTACTTTACATCGTAATTATTGGATTGTCCAGAAAATCCTGCGACACTTTGTCCAAGATTTTTGACTGTACCTTTTTTGTTGAATGGGATATTCAATCAGCACGGTTATCACCGGTAGCACGTAGGAGACGTGTACTTTTTCTGAGCAACTTCTCAACCCTCTTACTTTAGAAATCCGGCGTTTGCTTCGAAAAGAAGCGCTTCATCCAATTTTCGAGGTTACCCCAATCTTCGGATTTTTTCTCCTCGAGGTATGCTCCAGTGTACTAACCACGGAGGTCTTCCAGGAAATGCCCAGCTTTTTCGAAACGGTTTTTGCATGATATAGAGGTACGTGCATGGAACACAGAACTGTGGTTCATTTTTCCTGAGCGACCCTCTGAATACCAAAAAAGGAGCGAAGAAAAATTCTTAAGGAACTGCCGTTCTTAACTTTCTTCACCAGTTTTCTGACCAAAGTTTACGTATAAAGGTTGCCGACAGTCCTGATTATAAATATGACATAAGTTGTTTACGCTGACGCTGGTTTTCGTTTGAAAGCTGGGCATTTCCTGGAAGACCTTCTTCGTAAGTACGCAATATTTAGAAACGACAAAGTCAGGCGGGAGAAGCACTGCAGAATTTCCCGATCAAAATCCACGATCCCTTCATGTGTAATCCTTCGCCACATACAGATATGGGTTAGGGTGGGGTAACACCGTATCGAGAATTTCTGCGTGATTTGACGCATGGCTTCGGCCAAATTTTAAAGGTTGTTGAAGAATACAACGGCAGTTACCCTGGTGCACTTCTGTGGCAAATCAGTTTGCAACCTCATCAGAAACACTAAAAAGAAAAAAGACCTTCTTGACGAAGGCCTGCTTTTGTTCCTGCGGGCAGCTTTCCTCCTTGTCGAATCCAGTAGTGCTTATGTGTATAGTTTAGTCAAGGCCAGAGCTATCTTCATTAGCCATCATTTTTGTCAAGAGATTCCTTTGATGCGAAAGAAGAAGAGAAATCTGAATCATGGTCACACGGTTCGCCTCCCCAGACTGGCGCAACCCATGTGGTGTCAATGGCGAACATACTGATCTGTAACCGAGATCGTGCAGTCCTCGACAATTGTCGAATGAATGCACATAAGCGTTGCTGTTAAAGGAATCTTCCACGGACCATGGACCAGTGGGCGGGACCGGAAGTGGTTTTGCGACGAAATGCATGGTAGGTACGGATCCACGTGTCCATTTCGTGA